TCTACAGGACAAGTCATTTCTTTAACAAACTGCCAGAAAATGGAGAGAGAGAGAGAGAGAGAGAGAGAGAGAGAGAGAGAGAAGGGACCTACAGATGATGACACATACGGACCGAATGCAATGTGTGGCATTTGTGGATGCTTGCACGGTTGTTTGCTCCTGATAGGAGTCAACATTTAAAACAATATACATCTATGCAAAGGAATTCCAAAAGTTTATGGGAAAATTCCATTACCTTAAGATTCTATTCTTCCATGAACTTTCTGCAGCCCCTTCGTGTGTCTCTTTGAGTGTGTGTGTGTGTGTGTGTGTGTGTGTGTGCGCGTGCGCGCGCGCGCATGACATGACAGAGAAATCTGAGCACTGAGTTGTATATGACTTAAAGGAACTGTATTTAGAGAGTGGTGATGGTACTGTCCATTTTTTTAAAAAAAGGCCTTTTCTCCTTTAGAGACATAGGACAAAGGAATGAAAAGCCTACAGATGAACAGTAAGCTAGCCTGGTGATGAGGGGGAGGGAAAAGCAGACCGAGATGGCCGATGGTTTAACAATGCGTTGTGGACAACACTGCGGAGGTGAGGGAGCTGAGTAACAGATCCGTGAGACTGGCAATACCAGCCTCACTACTTTTGCTTTTGCTTGAATTTGCTTGACAATAAAACCACTGAATAGATAAAATATAAGCATGCACAGGAAATGTTGGGCAGGATAGATTTCAAAATGTTCAAAGTGGTTATCACTGAACGAATGTGGTCACATTTTTTTAAACAGCAAATTTATCACCCTAGGTTAGGAGATTACCGGTCATTTCTGCTCTTTTCTCTTGGCTGTGTTTGATAATTTTTTTTTTCCTACCATGAACAGATCAGAATGTTGAATCGAAAATTGTCTAAGAGGATGGAAACAAGGCCAAGAACCAAAGCCTCCCACCATACACGGATGCTGATGTGCAGGTTCACATTGCTTACCCAGTTCTGGGTCATTGATCCTTTGCAGAAGGCAGCGAGAGTTATTTCTCTTCCCTAGAAGAGTCTGCCATCTTACGGAATTTGGTAACGAGGCCAGGAGGACTGGAGAAGCCACAAACCACTGTGTTTTTAGTAAGTAACACGGTGAGCGTTGATGCCAGCTGTAAGGCAGAATCCACTCAACGGCAGTGGGTTTTCACTAACTGCCGAGCACGATGCTAAGTGCTTTGCACACGCTGACTCACTGAATCCTCTGAGCTGGAACTCTCATCCACCCCATGTTACAC